AAAAATAAAAACAGCAAATATGTATCCATAAATTATAAATTTGACAAGTATGAGTAGATCTCAATATTTTACATGAATAATTTTGTGTTCAATTAATAAATTAATGAGTCATTGTTCTAATTTAATTTTATTTTTTCTCCTAATTATTTTTTCCAATAATTTACTAATTGAATTAGAGATTTTTGATACATAAGGGGTAAGGGTCAATAAAATATAAACACATGTCTAAGGACAAAAAGCAAACGAAGGGTGAGTGGCCCATAAAATATAAACACTGTGTGTGGTCTGTGTTGTCTTCTCCTTGTCTCTCGATCACGAGAGAGAGACAGACAGACACAGAGCGCTAGCGAAAAGCGAAGGAAAGTTTCTGCTATGGGTCTCCACCGAAAGAAGCGAACAGTAAGGAACGATTGAAGATTTTTTGATCTGTAAACTTAGGATTTCTGCTATGGGTCTCCACCGAAAGAAGAAGAAAAAGAAAAAAATGCCTTCTGATCATGGTGATTCTTCGATTTTCTGGGTCTTTTTATACTTCATCTATTTTTTTTTTTTTGGAATTTCCTCAATATTTGTAGTCTATTATATGCGAATCAACCAAGTTGTGCTGAGTTGGAGTCGGCTCACTGTGAGTCTCACCCAATTTCTTCTTCCTTGCTTTGTTTTTTTTTTTTGGGTTTTGGTACCCNCTGCTATGGGTCTCCACCGAAAGAAGCGAACAGTAAGGAACGATTGAAGATTTTTTGATCTGTAAACTTAGGATTTCTGTTATGGGTCTCCACCGAAAGAAGAAGAAAAAGAAAAAAAGGCCTTCTAATCACGGTGATTCTTCGATTTTCTGGGTCTTTTTATACTTCATCTCTTTTTTTTTTTTGGAATTTCCTCAATATTTGTAGTCTATTATATGCGAATCAGCCAAGTTGTGCTGAGTTGGAGTCGGCTCACTGTGAGTCTCACCCAATTTCTTCTTCCTTGCTCTGTTTTTTTTTTTTTTGGGTTTTGGTACCCAGATTTTCCAAATGCACCATAGCGGTCTGACTCAGTTCGACTCGACCGAGTCTAACCGATTTTAGTTCTAAGTTGGGCCGATACCACCGAGTTGTAACCGAGTCAGTACCGATTCAGTTGAATCTCGTTATATTAATGTACCGTGTATCGTTATCGGATCGGCAACTGCCGAGACGGATACGACTCGGCCGAGTTGATTCGGACTCGGCCGATACTTTGAACCATGGTTCTACTACCATTTTTATAAAAAGCCCCAAAATCCCTAATTTTGTCCTAAATCCAATTGATCTCCTTCTTCTTCTCTACTCCATTTCTTCCTCTCTTTCTCCAGTCCATTCGATCGCTGTCTCCAGTCCATTCGATCTCAACACCCACTAAAATCTCGGTCTATCCTCTCTTGATTCTTCTTTCTTTGTCTATGTTTTGTCTGCATGTATGTTGTTGTTGGTTTGTTGCTGCGCAAACATACATCATCTTTGAGAAGTCACAATGAGGAGGCTGATCTGTTTCATCCTATCTTCACTATTACTGTGTTCCTATCTTTCATGTCCAGTAGTAATCGGTTTCATGAAGAGGTGGTTTCATGAGGAGGCTACTATGTGTGAATTGTTAATATTCTATTAGATTTTATTAATTGTCTAAGAAAAGAAGTGATTTGTGATTTTTTTTGTGTTCTTAATTTTCTTATTTGATCCATTATAGCATAAAAATATTTTTTTATGTACCTATTCAAAAATTTTAATATATTCATCATTATTAATAATATTTATTATTTTTTTTAGTATACAATTGGTCCAATCAGTTAACCCAATAATTGAATCAGTAAACTATTAATCCGGTCCTTTGCCGATTCAATGTCTGGCCCGATTTTGATAACTATGCTTTAAACTTATTTTCTCTTAATTCCTTTTTAATCTGGAAGCATTTGGAAATATCTATATGTTCTATCACAAATTCCTACTCTTACCTCTATACTAATGGGTGACACCTCAGACTCTAAATCTGGTCAATCGTGGACAAAAGGAAAAAGAGTATTCTATACATGTTTGAAATTAATCGAATATGTAAATTGATTCCAATAGTTACTATATGTAGAAAGTGTCAAGGAACTATTCAGTTGTATAACAAGTATCAACATCCATACAAAAACGGCTCTCTAGTGGAAGGTAAGTGCCACTCAAAATTCAAATTTTCCACTACTATTCACTATCATAATCCCCTAAGAAAGGCATAAAATGTCATATTTTTTTTTTCACTATTCCATTCTACTAAAGGAAGAGCTCACGTTTAATGCTGCTGANCTACTATTCACTATCATAATCCCCTAAGAAAGGCATAAAATGTCATATTTTTTTTTCACTATTCCATTCTACTAAAGGAAGAGCTCACGTTTAATTCTGCTAACGGTTTTGGTATGTGAATGGGTATGGTGATACATATTTGTGATCATTTCTCACCTTTTGGGGTATTGTACTCTCATTTGGCCGGTTTCTGTGAGGTCTAGTTCTGAATATGCGTAATATATATAACCACCAACCTCAATCACATATATATACTGTTTCCTTATGCTTGACAGTTTTCAACTCCAACAATTGCTTTCCTTTGAATCAATGCCTCCTCTCCGTTACAAAATATCTCTCACCATCTACACAACTTTGTTATGTAATTTTGACCTTTCCACACTAATTCATAACCTAATCAACTTACTGTATAGAAACTGATGGTGAGTCCTGATAGATGATAAACACTTTAAATTAGTTGTGGGATCACAAAACTGTTTCAGGATACCAGTCAACATCCACCAACAGTTTTTCTCACATTTAGCATTTCCTACAACTAGGTACTTCCATTTGTTAGAGCATCCAACCAAAACCCAATTGGTAATGAGTGGAGTGATCCCTCAAGTACATAAACCAGCCTTGGTGGTCCTATATTCACTGTAAGATACAAGCTCTCTTAACACCCCCCCTCACGTAGAACCCGGGCTCGCAAGTCGGGTCAACAATCAAACAAACAACCATGCATACCAGAAAAATTCAAATGAGTAAGAGATTTGACCCAGGGACCACTCAATGCCTAGCTTTCATTCCATGTTAGAACATCTAACCCAAAACTAATTGTCAATGGGTGGAGTGGCCCCTTAAGTATATTTTTTAAGAACACACACTGGGGATATATGCATATTTTGAACATATTTTACCCAATATCTAAAGTAGTTGCAAAAGTCTAAGAAGCTCAATATGCCCAAGTCCAAGCACCACCTCCAAAAGGGCCTAACCTTTGGAGGAGTGGATAAGAGCTTCTCAACCAGCCTGAACCTCTTGTTGCGACCAATGTAGGATTTTAGTTCTTTTTTTTTTTTTTTTTTTTTAGTGAACCCACGCAAGGGAATACATGCATATTTTGAACATACTTTGTCCAAATATCATACTGCAGTCGCAAGAATCCAAGAAGACCAATAAGCCCAAATCGAAGCACCACCTCCAAAAGGCCTAACTTTTGGAGGTATGGATGAGAATTTATCAATCAACCTAAACCACTTGCCGCAATCGATGTGGGATTTTAGTTCATCTTTTTTTTTTTTTTTTATGAATACAATATAAACCAACCTTGATGATCCCAATCATTCGATGTGGGATACAAACTCTTTTAACACCATTAACCAGATCTTGAGCCAATATTGGAACCCATGGGCATTAACTGCACAGAGTGCACAATATATACATTGTTTCATTGTGCCCTTGGTATCAAGGGTTCAAGTCGCGGAAACCACTTCTCACAATGATAAGGCTACGTATACAGATTCAGATTGTACAGTGGCATGAGCCTTTTGCACTGGGCTGCCAAGTTACTGCACAGTAATATGTGGGGTTTCAAATTCACATGAAGGAACAGGCCATAGATACACTCGCTATGCATCCCATTACCCATATTATCTCCTCCCAACATTACACATAAAAACCTATTTTAACATGTAGTCGGTTGGGACAAGATATGTCACAGGTGTTACAACATAACAAGTGCACAGGCATCGTATGTGTGAGGTAGCTAGTTTTCATAGCAAACACCACTGTTGTTTGACTGAAGCATAAGAGGTAGGGCCTGAGCTAGAAAATTTCATAGATATATAATGCATGCATCCTCAAATGCTTACACACAGTTACAATACATAGAAAACAGAAAGAAATTAAAAGAAAGAAAACAAAGCAGAAGTTCCAGCCAACAGAAAACACTTGCCTCACCAACTTCGCCTCTAACACGGTTGAGTGTATCTGCACTAGGATTACTGGAGAAAAATTCCATTTGCTGATGCAAGACTCGAGAAAACTCATCATTCATGGCATAAGCAGGTGCATAGGGAGCAACTTTGCCATAGTTTTTCATGAACCTCATGTGAACATCCTCCAAGTACGAAAAAGGGATTCTCCCTGGAGCACATTGTAAACAATACACAGTTTTAAAATGAAAGCTAATACTTTGATTAAGAGTTAGTAATATCTTGCAAGCTAGGGATGGCACGAAGGCAAAGAGAAAATTAGGCTCAAGGAATCAGAATTCTGCCCACAGAAAAAATACAAGAAACATGAGTGAAAGAAAATATGACCACATGGTAAGCCTAGACTAAGTAATGCAAAAAAAGGATATATATCTAATAAATTTACAATTAAGTAAAATGTCAGATGCAGCCAAATGACTCCTTTCCACTCAAAAGTAATGAGACTGATTTCTCCAAATAGACAAGGATGTCAGCCGCAAGATGACTGAATGAGATGCTAATTAACAAGAAAAATTACTCCCATTCCATATGCGCAAATGCATAGCCAAAGGACTCATCATTCCAATGGCCCAAGACTTCTGCACGCCAAAAGCAAAAGAGATCTTCATTGCATATCAGTAAAACACGAATGCAGATGGCATAAGGGCATAAGGGCATAAGGGCCTCCACCTCAAAAGTCATCAGCAGACAAACCCGTGTATACAACAGACAAGATTGCATCCTTAACAATCAAGGAAATTCAAATAAATTGTCCTCATTATCTTGCTTGCTCATTGTACCACATCTTTCATGCCTCGTTCCATCAAGCCAAACATAAAACTATAGTTTTTTATTACAAAGCATCAAGCAAATAAAACAACTGATGGTGAAGATCTATAATTGGGTCATTCTCCCACTCAGCTCATGTGCCATGCAACAAATGTGTCACAATCATGTTACTAAAACCACAAAATCTATGATGGATATCACAAGAGTCATCCTTAAGAAAACTAAATAGGAACCATTGCAAGTGCAATAATAAAAGGGTCTAGCTAACAACCGTTAGGTTGTGGGTTCAAATCAGAGTCACCTTGTGCAACAAATGCCAAAGGATAGGTCTATACTGAATATATACCTCTCAGTGCCCTCAATTAATCATTGATGTGTACTAAACTACGTAATGGTCCTTTTAGTAACGTAACAACCCACTTTCACACCAAAACCACCTCATAAATTTTACTTTAAAACAAATTGGATCATAAAGTTAGATTAAAGAGACACAGCCAACAAGGTCGCATCCTAAGAAGCACGAATACAGACATGGAGATACAGCAAAATCCCAAAAGATTAAAGAGACACTGCCAACAAAGTCGCATCCTAAGAAGTACGGATACAAATATGGGTGTCGTATCCAATACGATACGGACACAGAAATACGGAAAAATCCCAAAACATAGGACACGGGTAGGGTAAGGATACGACTAATTAAAATAAGTATATATATTTTTATATATATAACAACATTAATAATAACAATCCATCAATAATAACAATCCAAAAAAAACGCAGCAAACACAACAGGAAGAGTGGAAGACAGAATCACAGAATCCAGATTTTGAAAACCAACAACACTAGACCAAAAAAACAATAGCATATCAACAACAAAAAACCCCCCAAAATATCCTCAAAATTTGAAAACCATAAATCCCTAATCCAATCAAATTAACCCAATCAAATTTTTTTGAAAGCCCCCCACAAAATAGAAGTAAGAAAAAAAATCTTAGGTAACAAAAAAGAAGAGGAAGAAGAGGAACCTAGTAAGTGGTAACAACAGTCGCAGGCAGCAATAGCAAGTTGGTCTTCCTCTTCCCTCTCNAACCTAGTAAGTGGTAACAACAGTCACAGGCAGCAATAGCAGGTTGGTCTTCCTCTTCCCTCTCCCTCTTCTCCTCCTCTTCTCCTTGTTGTTGAAGGCCCGCGGTAGATCGTTCAGTTGTTCTCCTCTTCTCTCTCTCTCTCTCTCTTAGTGGAAAGTGGGAGACTGGGAGTCGAAGTAGATTGCTNTCCCTCTTCTCCTCCTCTTCTCCTTGTTGTTGAAGGCCCGCGGTAGATCGTTCAGTCGTTCTCCTCTTCTCTCTCTCTCTCTCTCTTAGTGGAAAGTGGGAGACTGGGAGTCGAAGTAGATTGTTAATCGTTCAGCCTTTACCTTTTGTTTTTTGTTTTTTCAAGCCCAAAAACAACATCGCCTATCCCATTTTTTTTTGTTTTAACCTCCTAAGATTTTAAAATAACAAAAGCAACTCATTGTATCTTCATATCCTCCACGTATCTAGTTGAAAAAAATTAAATTTACTGTGCAAGACACTTCTAGAGGTGTCGGACACGTGTCCAGCTGTGTTCCACGCATGTCGGACATGTGTCCAACACTACCACGCCCCCCCCCCCCACCGAGTATCCGTACTTCTTAGGTTGCATCTAATGCAAAACAAATAATAGACCATAACCATATTGAAANTGCAACAAATGCCAAAGGATAGGTCTATACTGAATATATACCTCTCAGTGCCCTCAATTAATCATTGATGTGTACTAAACTACGTAATGGTCCTTTTAGTAACATAACAACCCACTTTCACACCAAAACCACCTCATAAATTTTACTTTAAAACAAATTGGATCATAAAGTTAGATTAAAGAGACACAACCAACAAGGTCGCATCCTAAGAAGCACGAATACGGACACGNCTCATAAATTTTACTTTAAAACAAATTGGATCATAAAGTTAGATTAAAGAGACACAGCCAACAAGGTCGCATCCTAAGAAGCACGAATACAGACATGGAGATACAGCAAAATCCCAAAAGATTAAAGAGACACTGCCAACAAAGTCGCATCCTAAGAAGTACGGATACAAATATGGGTGTCGTATCCAATACGATACGGACACAGAAATACGGAAAAATCCCAAAACATAGGACACGGGTAGGGTAAGGATACGACTAATTAAAATAAGTATATATATTTTTATATATATAACAACATTAATAATAACAATCCATCAATAATAACAATCCAAAAAAAATGCAGCAAACACAACAGGAAGAGTGGAAGACAGAATCACAGAATCCAGATTTTGAAAACCAACAACACTAGACCAAAAAAACAATAGCATATCAACAACAAAAAACCCCCCAAAATATCCTCAAAATTTGAAAACCATAAATCCCTAATCCAATCAAATTAACCCAATCAAATTTTTTTGAAAGCCCCCCACAAAATAGAAGTAAGAAAAAAAATCTTAGGTAACAAAAAAGAAGAGGAAGAAGAGGAACCTAGTAAGTGGTAACAACAGTCGCAGGCAGCAATAGCAAGTTGGTCTTCCTCTTCCCTCTCCCTCTTCTCCTCCTCTTCTCCTTGTTGTTGAAGGCCCGCGGTAGATCGTTCAGTCGTTCTCCTCTTCTCTCTCTCTCTCTCTCTTAGTGGAAAGTGGGAGACTGGGAGTCGAAGTAGATTGTTAATCGTTCAGCCTTTACCTTTTGTTTTTTGTTTTTTCAAGCCCAAAAACAACATCGCCTATCCCATTTTTTTTTGTTTTAACCTCCTAAGATTTTAAAATAACAAAAGCAACTCATTGTATCTTCATATCCTCCACGTATCTAGTTGAAAAAAATTAAATTTACTGTGCAAGACACTTCTAGAGGTGTCGGACACGTGTCCAGCTGTGTTCCACGCATGTCGGACATGTGTCCAACACTACCACGCCCCCCCCCCCCACCGAGTATCCGTACTTCTTAGGTTGCATCTAATGCAAAACAAATAATAGACCATAACCATATTGAAAGTTACAATTGGTACCAATTTAGTCGAACCAACCTCTACCTTTTGCACATGCTCAACCACGATGACGTAATATAAGTACGCATCGAGCAACCTAAAAAAAATAAATAAAAGCATGTGAATGTAATTTAAAGCTTCCAAGCATAAGTAGATAATGCACAAGACACAAGCTGATCCTAGATGCACGAACAACAAGGTATGCTCCCTTCGACCTACCTGCGTACAAGAAATTAGTACATACATACTCTTTTTTACTACAGTTGATATTCGTAAATCAAGTGCCTCTTTGGTCCAGGGTGGATGTAATTAAATATCAGACCAAAAGTGGACCAGCTGAACTAAGGCAAGGGAAATGGATGTTCTACATCTTACTGTCCTAAAGCTTAGAATTCTTGTGAGTGGTACTTCCCACAAAGATGCCCACCCAAAACTTCTTTATACTAGACCATTGCATATACACAATTACACGTGCAACTTTGGTTTGAGTTTCAAAATAAACGCTAACCTGCAAATTGTAATTTATCTCAATTTTATCCCCCACCTTTGTGATTGTATAAAGACACACATCAATAACAAATTTTCATTTATAGTAGGCTCGAGGATGCAAAGCATGGTTTATAACACTTATTCCATACAATAAAATGACTAGTAAGGGTAGTTTAACACGGAAGGAAATAATGTCTACGCTAGATAAGAAAAGTACTCCCTAAGGTAGATTAACCAAAAGGTCACAATATCACCGATTAATATCCATGTTTCAATTCATTAATGATACAGGTAATCCTAATGGGGACAATGGTTATTGTGGTATAATTGATCTTATATAGGTCAGTGATATAGAATCAATTAAGCTTGGCAAATGCTTCACTGTTTGAATGATTGCTCTTGATCACACTCATATTGGCACATTGTTCAAGTCTATCTCCATCCTTCAATGTCACACGACACACTTTGCACCTAAAACCTATTATGCCGTCAAAAAATCATTCCAGAAATGTTTAGCCAAACCACAATTAAAATGCAAATTTCTCTGTGTGGGTGGGTGGGCGTTTTCAATAAACAAGCACTACACAAATCTTAGACCAATAATATTCAACTCTTACACCTAGAGAATTGAGAAAATTGAGGTTCCAAAGCATTTATAAAATGAACCGGAGAATAAATTTAGATATAGCATCAAGCCTCAAACTTTCCCCATAAACTCAAAGACACTAAAATCCCATTTTTTGAGTTCCTTTGTTAGAGGACAAAAATACCCCATTTTAACTCTGAGAGCTGTCCAGTGCTTCAATTTCTAAAGCAAAACACACAGACAGCCACAAACTTAATTCATAAGACAAATTAAACTCAAAACTACATCCCTAAAAGACATATCAAGTAGACAGTCGACAGATAAAATGAACCAAAAACCTCAAAAATTATGATGAGAATAAAAAAGATAACCAACACACTTTTTCGTATTTTTTTCCAATTGTAAGTACTGATTTTTCTATTTAATCATGAATGTAAACATCCGTATATGAACTCAGGACTCCGCTTATGTCTCAAATTCAAACAAAGATCTCAATTCAATTCAAGAACTTAAAATTTGAGAGAAGGCTCAAGTCAATCTCAAAGCCACAGACTGCACAACATATCATTCCAACAGCTAGAATCAATAAAAAACCTTCAAATTCATGATATGAGTTAAAACCACACATGTATGCTCACACACACATATACAGGTATGCCTACGGAAATATATATATAGGCATATACAAATAGATAGGCATATATAGAGATATACATAGATATGTAGAGAGAGAAAGAGAAAGAGAAAGAGTACGCACTTCCGAAGGTGTCGTTGGCCATACAGAGGAAGGTGAGGCCATCCGATCTAAGAATATGGAATATGTAGCGATCCTGCGAGAAACAAAGCCTGGAATCGGCCTCCGACGGTAACTTCTCCAGAATCCGCCGCGACACGGCGCCAGTGTTCCCCGTCACGGCGCTGAACTCGGCCAGCACCGTCGTCCCCCGAGCCACAACCGCGTACAATATCGCCATCTTCAACTATCTCTGCTTCGATCAAAATCGAGCTCTCATAGACTCACAGATAAATAATCGTTACGGAGATTTGAGGGTTTGAAGAAAATATTCACCGGAGAAACGGGAGCGTCCCGGGAAGAGGGGGGGGGGGGGGGGGGG